ATCATTCTCACTTTAACATACGAGTTACAGACGGGGCTCACGGCCGGGCAGAGAGCCAGGGTGGCTCAGGGCTCCGTCAAAGGCCCCTTCCTGGCCTTCATCCCATGCTCCTCTCCGCGGGTCAGCCAAGCAGCGTGAAGCTCCTCGGCTGTGTTCAGGTTCCTGCCCACGGCACGGTGAGGTCCCAGGAGCGGCTTGGAGTCCCACCTTCATCTGATGCTCTGCTTAGCCACGCGGGTGCCTGCAAGGCCCGATTCCAACACCCCACCCCTGCCTTCCGGCTCTTCTGCGACCTGGTCCCACAGTACAGAGGCACAGGGGATTATACTGCACATAGTTAAATGTGATAGATTAATAACTACCACAAATTGTCATTTTCTAAGCTGCGCTTGATGCTATGATATTGCTGATTGTAACATTTGGCCTAACATGTTGTGATCTAATCAGTTTTCCTTCTTGGTATAAGGAAAATAAAATAGCCTCAGAGTCATTAGAGCCTCAAAACCTAAACACAAGCCATATCTGGAAGACACCTCTGAAAAGCAATCATTCCACAAGGGTTTTAAACACAAGCAACAAAGATACCTGCACTAAGAAATTTTGAAATATCAACCCAGGAATTAAACCAAGGACAGTACCAAAAACAAAAATGAGAAGACATTTAAGCAAGGCACAAATGCAGGCTTCCACACCACAAAAAGGAAATTCTGGGGGAAATGAGGTGGAAAAGTCTGATAATCAACCACCTGGACACCCTGAACTGATAGCACAGGAAGTAACAAAGCAGATGCATGAGGCTCTAGAAAAATTCAAAGCAGAAATAATCTCCCAGATAAATACAAAGATGGTGAGCAGAGTGAAAGACATGATTAGAGGCTCTATAGCAGAAACAGATAAGAAAATAGATGAGCTCAGAAACATGCTGGAAGCCATGAATACCCAGCATAAGAAAGAAATGGAAACCATGATTGCCCAACATAAGAAAGAAATGGAATCCATGAAACAGATTCAAACAGATATTCAGGAGATTAAAATCTCCACTGAAAGCATGCAGAGCAGACTAAGAGAATCTGAAGACAGAATATCGGATATAGAAGACAGGATCGCAGTTAAGGACCATGAAAACAGAGATTTCTTAAAGATAGTAAGGGACCATGAGAAATCAATCCAACAGCTGCCGGATGATGCAAAGGGCCCTTCCTGCCTGCTTCACGGCTGTGCTGGATTCGGCTTCACTCAGACCTTGTCTCCCCCATAGCCTTCTTTTAAACCCTGGGCGTAAACGCATTTTATGTTAAATAACATTCGTACTTAAAATAACTGTAATTTTAAAAAGGACACAAAATTTAGTGAGAAGACTGGTGCCGTTCTCCTTCTCTGCAGGTCTCTAACGTCTCCTGGAAGAGTTCAGAGGGGCACTTCTGTCTGCGGCCCCCGGGGGGGGGGGGTTGCAGCACAAACATCTGCACGGATGTGTAACGAGAAGCGGAGAGGGGCCTTCCACAGCCTTCGCAGACCACGGACTCCACCCGCTTCCTATCACACCAGACGCGAGGAACCGCTAACGTTTTCAAAGTGAGTATCACTTGTAAAGTTTGCAAACTGTAGTCATGAAGTTTGGGGACTGTAGTATTAGCACTATCGGCCTCGCGTGCACCTGGGAATAGGACTTGTGCACCCCGTGTGTACTTAGCAAACACTCGCCGGGCCGCGCTGACCTGCTGCCGCTGCTGTGGGAGCCTCTCCTCACCGCGCGAGATCACGGCGGCCACCGTCGCCTGTGGCTCCTCCCAGAGCGTCAGGGCTCCGTAGGCGCCAAGCTTCTCCTAACTCAAGTGTTCCTGGGAACTCTTACTTACGGGCAGTATCATCTGCTGTTCTATCGCTTTGCTCAGAGAAAGTGTCAGAATCACCGATTTAGCTGCTCCTTGTTCTCCCAAGAGAAAACGACACTCCGTGAAGGGTCGTGGGGTGCAGCTCCGGCTCATTCAGAGCTCTTCACATTGCTATTTCCACCTCCACCTTCCCTTCACTCTGGCATTTTGGTTTTGTTTGCCGGGAGCTGGTGGCGATGAGACCGGTGACCGCAGCACGTGCTCCTGGGTGCTCACAGGGGCGTGCAGTCCCCCAGTGTCCGCCTCCAGGTCTGCGCCAGCACCATCCGCACCATCTCGGCCCCTTCAGCACAGAGAAAAGGCACACGGCATTTTGGCGTCTTGCAAAAATACTCTGTGCCTTACACTACCTGAAAGGGCCTGGGGGAACCTGAGAGGTTCAAGGTCCACACTTAAACAAAAAGCACTGCCCTACCCTGATCTGCACCCCTCCCGGGAGGGCAGAGGTCAGCGTCCTCCCAAAGCTCTTTAGGAGGGGCTTTATCTACCAGAAAAGTACACATCCGGAACCTCTGGCTGAAAGGGTGAGACACGGGGAGGGACTCTTCCAATTCCATTCAACACTGAAAACAGATTACTGAGCCTGGTATAGTGGCGCACGCCTGTTATCCAAGCACGCAGGAGGCTGAGGCAGGGGATCATGAGTTTGAGGCCAGCCTGGACTACAGAGCAAGACCTTGTCTCAAAAACAAACAAAAAAGGAAAACACAGTATTGTTTAACTGTTTTGGAACAAGGATGCCTTCTTATTTTACTTGACAAACGTAAATAAAAGTGCGAGTGGAAACTGACCGGAGAGGCGCAGTACTGGCTACGATTTGAAGAGACTGTTAGGTATTGTAGCTCAGGGACTTTCCATTCTTCCACCCCGACAAGCAGACTCAGATCTGCTCTCTTCTGTTACCTCTGAGGTGTCAATTTACCACGCACCTGAGTAGGCAACAACTTTCCTCATGAAGATGCATGGCAGGTGCTCTGCCTTATGGACAGGAGGCCAAGAGCTCAGCACACAGGCTGGGTTCTCCCAGCTCGGGATGAGGCTGCCCTGGGGACACTCTGCGATCTCCTGGGATCATCCTTGGGAAGGTCTTCTCCACCTCAAGATTATAAAACACGTGGATTTTTCCTAGTATACTTGTGTTTACTTTTTTAAATGTATGTTTTATAATTAAATCCACCTGGGTTCTACTTTGGTGTAAGTTGTGAATATCCTCGAGAATATGGAAAGATGTGGTCACAGTTTTAAGGATTCCATTTTCAGATCCTCAGACTTCAGGAAGCTGATCTTCCTGAGATGCCCCTGGCCTCGAGACTGGGCCACTTCTCACCCGGGACCCCCAAATCTTGCCATCCCATACAATACAGCCTTAAGGCAGAAGAAATAGTAACCCCAGGACACTAACAGAGACCCTGACAATTTCTTTTAAATAAAGCACTGTTAAGAGATGCATTTTCAACAAAACTTTACTTAGAACCAAATAGATGTGATTCACAGTGACTAAACTGTGTATTGCTAAGGACCGCACCATCCAGAAGAAATTCTATGCTGCTCCCTAAAAGATTCTGATGTATAAAAGCACAGTCCACTAAGAATTGTGGTAGAAGTGGAATAAAAAATGTTTTCAAGGACAAAAGCGATCAATGTAAAAATTCCAGCCGGTGAAAGGCTGAAGTATTTTAAAAAGGGACCATGGTGGGTATGAAATCACTATGGCACTGTACTTACATCCCACTGGGTCCATTTATAAAAGATATTTGCTACCACTTTACTTTCCAGATAGTATTTATAGCCCATCAGAACCTACTCCCGCACCTATTTAGATTTATGATAGAAGACCTTCAGGTAGCAAGAGTGTGTTAGGGGAATATACAGCAGTCTGCAAGGGGCGACCAAATACATTCTCTGATAGTGGTCCCAGGGCAATGCTTCCCCAGAGGCCCCGCCCTCGCCTTAGGCCTTGGTGGGCCTCGGGGCTCCTCCCCTCTTAATCTAGTTCTCCCTAGGCCGCCCTCAAGCTTCCGGGGAGCGTCTCTGTGCCAGGGCCCCTTCTTTGTCCCCTGACTAAATCCGATCCGCCACACATGTCCCCTGGTGCCATGAGGCTCCCCCTTTTCACTCCACAAGGACTTCTTGTTCAGTGTCACTGGAAAAGGCCAGACGTGAACCCTGTTGGTCACTGTCAGGCCCTGGTGGGGCAGCAGCTCGGGGAAGAAGCACCATTCCAGCCGGGCTGGGAAAGGAACTCACACGGGCACGGTGAGGGGTCAACAACAGTGCAGGAGAAGGAAGCAGAGGCACGAGTGTGGGGTGGTGATCCCAGCAGTCTGGACGGAAAGGAGAAGCCGAAGTCTGGGGGTGGGTTGCAGCGAGGCACTCGTCTATCCCCGTGGCCATCCAGGTCCGAATGGTCGCAGGGACCTGGTGTGCATTTTTCCAGTGGGGGACGCCGGGGCAGCAGGATCCAGGTCTGGGGCTGTCTTTCTCTATCAATTCGACAGCTACCCCCGCCTTCCTAGTTCTATGCCCAAGTATTTATGGATTCTAGATATTTAGGCAAGAACTTTAAGGACCAAACATAAAAAGCAGTCTTCTTGCAATTAAAAGAAGATCAGAAGCCGGTCAAACATCAAGGAAGCCCAGCAAGACTGGATTGTGAAAGGTCTACTAAATCCAGGGGAAACGCCCGAGTGCAAGGCCTCTGGGTGTGCACCGACGTGTGATTAGTATCACTCCTGCGAGTGGGGGCCAGGCCTGGGGAGGACCATGCCCGCGCGGACGCCTGGGCCGGGTCCCGCTGCGGTGCACGTGGGGGACCTGCAATCGCCGGTCGCAGGGATGCTCCGGGCAGTCGAGCGCTTCCTCAGGATCTCGCACCCGCCTCCCCGAGCTGCCCGGCGGACCTAGCTGGTGAGCATGCGCCCTGGCGACCGGCGGAGACCACGCGGGCCAGGCGGCTGTTACGTCTCAACCGACGGCAGCGTTGACCAATCAAAGGGCGGGCTAGCACGAGGAGCCCCGCCCCGGCGAGGAACCATGGTGACGGGCGGCCAATCCGCACGCGTGTTATTGCCCGGCGCTCCGCCTCGGCGAGGTACCTGGTGACCAGCCGGGGTCTGGAAGTGGAAGCGGCCCTGAGCGTCGCGCGGTGCCAGTCCCCTCTGCCCGGCTACCCGCCCGATCGCGGCGGCGCGGCCCATGCGGCTGGGGGCGGTGGCCCGGAGCGGAGCGGGCGGCGGGGCGCGGCGCGGCCGGCGCGAGGATGCTGCTGTCGCTGGTGCTGCACACCTACTCCATGCGCTACCTGCTGCCCAGCCTGGTGCTGCTGGGCTCGGCGCCCACCTACGTGCTGCTGTGGGGCGCCTGGCGGCTGCTGTCCGCCCTGCTGCCCGCGCGCCTCTACCAGCGCGTGGACGACCACATCTATTGCGTGTACCAGAGCGCCGTGGTCTTCTTCTTCGAGCACTACACTGGGGCGCAGGTGAGCCGCCGGCCCCGCTCCCGGCCCGGCCCGGCCCAGCCGGGCCCAGCGGGGCACCCGTATGACAGCCCCGGCGTTCCCGGCGGGAGGCGGTAAGGCTGGGGCGCATCCGTTTGCGCTCCAGTGCTCGCCTGACACTCCCGGCCCTGTGCGCCCAGCAAGTCGCGCCCAGCAAGTCGCGCCCAGCCCAGAGGTCCTCGCTGCGCATCTCCTGCTGCTGCCGCACCTGTCCGTGCTGCTGTTTCCCTCTCCACAAGCTGGATCTGCATTAAACGCGAGGAGCAGAAGTAGAAGGCCTTAGTGGTATTTAGTTACTTGAAGTCTCACAAAAAAGTAGACCAGTTGTGAGTTTTGCCCGTAATTCCCCATTAGAAAGAAGAGTTTGGGTCTTGGTCATCCCAGGGTCCCTTACCTCCTTTTTCTCCACACCGCCCCCCCCCCCGCCCCGACGCAGGTGGGTTGAGGTGAGTGGACACAAAGGGACAGTGTGACAGTATGTTGTTGCTGTTTTTCCTCTTTCTCCTTAGAATAGCCGTGGTCACCCTGTGGTCATCCATCCGGTCAGGTCACTACAGTGAGTTTTCAGTTGAACGGTTACGGGATCCCTGATTGAGTTTGCTCCACATGGAGGTGGTGGCAGGGAACTCGGAGGGAGACCAGGCCTCCGTTTAAATCCCTGCTCTTAAGTTTTCTAGGAAAGAAAGAAAAACCGCTGTTGCAGATCTTGGTTTCCTGGTAATTGACTTTTAGAATGAGCCTCCATCAAGATTTTCACTAAATCTTGTGAAAGGCTGTTTTGCTCTTATTTCTCCCAGTAAGTTGAAAGGTATGGTTTTGTCCTGGTTTGGTATTTAATGACAGACAGCTCAGAAACCAACGTCAGTCACTTCTTAGAAAAATTACTCTACCTGTGGTGGGTTATTTTTATTAAAAAATAGTATGTTCCACACAGTGTAATGTGGAATATGCCGTTGGACCACTTTGTGTTTAGCAGGTCTCTTTTAATCATAAAATTTCAAAGTGTTCCTGAAATTGCACACCTTATAACTATGGGTGTCTAGTTCTTGGTTTCCTAGCAAATGGTGGGTTTTTTTTTTTTGCCTATTTTTCCAACAAAAGGGTCCAATATCCAGTGATAATCTTGTATGCATTTATGGGGTTGTTTTTTTGAGACAGTATCTTGCTGTACATTCTAGGTTGGCCTTGAACTCACTATGTAGCCTAGGCTGGCCTTGAACTCACAGCGAGCAATCCTCCTGCCTCAGCCTCCAAGTGCTGGGATTACAGGTGTGCGCCACCATACCTGGCATTCTTGCATGTGTTTATGAAGGGATGTTGATGATGCCTAAATATAAATCAAATTTTATTTTATCAGTGCCCCTTGATAAACTTTATTAGGGATCTTATAATTGTGCACTGATTCTCAGAGGCAGGTTATGAACATCTAATAAAAATGTAGACTCAAGGACTTGTTCTAGCTTTTTTTTCTTTTAAGGAGTTATTTGCTGTTTAGTAATAGCAACCAGGGTGTTTTATTTATTTTATTATATTTTTATGAAACAGGATCTCACTATGTAGTTCAGGCTGGCTGCCCACTTACAGTGTAGCCCAGGCTGCATTGAACTCACTGTGATCCTCTTGCCTAAGCCTCTCAGATGCCAGAATTACAGGTGTGCACCACCATAGTCCAGCAGCCAGGGTATTTCCCATGTGTTAAAATCTTTTTCTAATGCCTGAGATTTCAGTGTAGACAAAGCTACCCTGATATTTTCAATGGTTTCCTTGAAGTTTAAATTAATACAGGAATAAATAGCTATCTTCAAATATAAAACCCAGAGGAAAAAGGTTATAGGGACATTCTGTCACCTTAGTCTTATTTTAATCTATTATATTTCATCATTAACTTTGTCATTGAGATGGTTTTGACTAAAATTTTAACCTGTTCTTCTTATTTTTCTAAGAGGTTTTATTTATTTTACTTGAGTTGTCATCTTTTAGTTACAAGGTTATGATGATCCTCTTTATTCTCTAAAGATCTTGTTGCTTCATCTCTGAAGAAAGTATTACAAATTTAGAGCACATAAATTGATGTATTCTCACTATTTTGCTTTATGCTCTTTAGAGCTTTCTTAGCTGTTTTTAATCCGTTACTTATTTTCTCATTTTAGTTCTTTCCAAGCTGAGCGCAAGCCCTGCTGGACCCTCTGAGTGACCACAGAACCCCGTCTGCACCCCCGGGTGCACTAAAGCCAAACAGTTCTCCTCATTTCCCCCACCTCCTCTGCACCTGTGATCTCAGCAGCTCCAGCAGAGGGGGAGGCAGCTTCACCTCCTCCAGAGGGAAGCGCTGGGGTTTGCCCGTAACGATGTCACATTTTCTGAGAGAGACAGGTCTGCTGTGTGAAAGATGGCAGATTTGGCGATCAGTTGCTCTAAGACCGAAACTAAATAGTTCTCGTCAGCAGCCTATCGACGCAGAGTAGCAGCTTGAGGGGCTCCCAGGCTCTGTTGTTCGGGCCACAAAACAGAGCGCACATTGTCCCCAAATTGGCTCCAAATTGTCAAGGTCTCAGTTAAAGTCTCAAGGGAGATAACTGTTCTTTGTTGAGCTGTCTGTATGTTATTTTGGACATGCTTTGTGAGTTCCATATCTAAAGTTCTTGTTTGTGAAAAGCAATGATTATATTTAACTGTCTTTTGCTGCGTTTATTTCAACACTGCAGGGCTGCTTGGGCCGAATGTGTTTTTACCCCGTGCTTTAGACCCAGCTGACTACCTTTATTACCTTCTCTCACCCGAAGCACCTATCTTTTTTTTTTGCCAGGATTTTGTACTTGTCCTTGACCTTGATGTGAGATGCACTGCATTGTGGATTCTTGCCTTTCTTTTTTTTTTTTTTAGTACCAGGGATTGAACTCGGGTCCTTGCGCTTGCGAGGCAGGCGGCGGCACCACTGAGGTAAAGCCCTGGTCCCGCCTCTATTCTTAGTGTGTATTTCCTTAGGGATGATTCTCTGTGCTGCCTTTTTATGATCATGGGTTTCTTATACCCAAACTTTAAATATCACAGTTTTATTAATACATGGGAAGCCTCTCATTTGACATTTTCTAGTTTGAATTTTTTTTTTTGGTACTGGGGATCACGCATGAGAGACAGGCGGAACCACTGAGCTAAATCCCCAGCCCCTCTAGTTTGAATTTTTGGGGAGAACACTTTTCTCATAGATGAAAGATTTAGGGCCCCTGTGATGTGAAGTCTGTATCGTTTGTTTCTTTGTCACACTGTGTGTCAGCTTAATCCAGGGAACTTCTCAACCTCAGCCATCTTATCCCTAATTGGAATTTTTTTGTCATGCTGTTTTGAAGCCTGAGATAATATGTGAAATTGCTTCCCTTAGCTATAGGTAGAGCACAGATGCTGGGAAAAAATACTTTGTGAGATAGGAACAAGACGTGTATGCTGAGTGTGTTAGAGTTTTGTGATTTCTAAGGCTTCATTTGCATAATGTGTGATAGTTGTTTTGAATTCAGATTATTGGCCAGATATACTAATTTGCCCCTATTTCCAAAAGGAATGTTTCAGACTGGCCCTCTCCCCCAAAAGGCCACAATTTTTATATGCTGTAGAGCAGAAATCTCTTACTCATTAACTGGCTTTAGAGTCATGTATTGCTTAACAACAGGGACAGACCTGTTCTGAGAGCCAGATGAAGTGATTTCATTGGGCAGACAGAGGGTACTTAAACCACCCTGGATGGATGGTACAGGGCCCCTTGATGTCATAAAGGCAGGGTAGAGGCGGGTGTTGCCAGCATGACATGGCCAACTTTGAAAGTAGAAATAATTCTTTCACACTAACAAGATATGTTGTATAGAAGATAGGTGAGCCAGCAGGGCCTACTATTAAGTGTTACATCGTGTGCAGCACCGGACGCAGGGCATGTCTGTATGAAAGGCAGCAGAGTGAGCTCGCGCTAGCATCACCGCTAACAGCGAGACGTGTGCCGGCTTGTGACTTTAAGGTGGCCGGTGTCACTGGGGCTTGGGAATTCTTCAGCTCCAGTGTAATCTATGGGTTCTCCTAGGTGTAGACTTGTGTGGCGTCCATGGTTAACCAAACTGGCCTTAGATGTATGTGACTGTTTCGTTGGCATAAAAATACATTTAAAATTCATTTCAGATGATTGTAAACCGAGTGTGAATTGCATATGCAATGGTATTCAAACTCAGAACTCACTGCAGCTGCCTTTCTGTGTCATCCGAGACGTGTGGGGGAGAGGCAGACAGATTCGACACCTGCTTCTCTTACCCACTAATCACTTGGCAGTTTTGAGTAAAAAATCTTACTTTATTGGTGAAAGTAACAATTTTAAGTTGTTGCTGGGGTTTTTTTGATGTTTACTGTGTTTTAGGCATTGTGTGTACAGTGGCACCTCGGTTCATGAACTTGATTCTGTGATTTTTGGCAACGATGGCCACATTTGTGTTTGTGTGGGAAAGACTGGTGGTTGTGTTCGTCACCCACCCGATGCAGAGTTTGCAAAAGAAAATAAAATTTTGCCAACGTTTCTGTTGGCGAACTGAGGTACTTGCCACGGTCTTACTGATTTGCCACAGTCCCAGGAGGAGTGGCCACTGCATTGCAGCCGCCTTCCGGGTGCTGAGGGTGGGTGCGGAGAGATCGGTACTAGTGACCAGGTTCCCAGGCCCAAGCCCTGCGGAGCTCTTAGTGACTACACTGGTACAGTGCAGAGGAGGAAACCTTTGTCCTGCACCTCTCGGGTGGGGCGAGTAAAGCTTCTGAAGGAGCCACGAAGTCTGCTTACAGAGAGAGAGAGCGCATACACGTTTTGCTGATGTCTGTTCTTAACCCGTGCTGGAGGGTGGGCGCAGTGCTTGGAAAGCAAATGAAACCTCGATCAACGATCAACGGTTTACCTGTGATTTTAACAAAGGGCGAAAAGTTGTGAAGCAGTGCCGCAGCCTCCCGGGCCTGGTGTGCTGTGGGTGATGACAGGAAAGGGGATGTGCTAGACGGGGTGGTTCAGAAAGGTTGTTGTGCACTTAGGGTTAGACAGGGCACAGTTCCCGGTTTTCCGAGAAGGGAGAGGGGAACGCTTTGCAATGCTAATTCACATCACCCTTACACAGGGAGGCAGAAAGCTCCTCTGTGCCTGGTGTTTCTCAGTAATTCCTCTGCTAAATGGGCAGAGTTTGGAGGGTCGCATTATACTCTTCCATATTAGGGGACATAGTTAGGGGCAGAATTTCAAGTTTCCCATGCTGAAGGTAAATGTGCCTATTAAGATGAAGAATGTAGTTTTTGGCAAAGCAAGAATGCTATATATTTGTACCCTGTGGTGATACAACAGGGAGAATCCTCAAGTGGCTCACATCTGTGGAGCAAATAGAGGTGAAAATAGATAACCTAATCCAAGCCTTCTTGTGAAAACCAGTTTGTGAAGATAAACATGGTTGACAAAGCAGAATAATAACTAGTGTGTCAGTTGCCATGAAGGTAAGTATTCGAAAAGCAGTTGTTGTCTGCCTCTGAATTAATTATATAAAAAAGAAAATTACTGCTTAAAGAGATTCAGTTTTTTAAAAATGGATGAACCTAAGATTCAACAATTGTGAAGAAACCGTTATGAATCATATTATATATTATTATATTAATATATGAATTATAAACAATATGTGTAATATATATTAATATAGTTTTCATATGCCATGTTTTGAAGGAACAAATTCTTTGTACGATGCATTTATAAAAGTGACTAATGCACTGGGTGTGGCAGCGCATGCCTGTAATCCCAACCACTGGGGAGGCTGAGGCAGGATTGCAGTTTGAGGCCAGACTAGGCAAAATAAAATAAAAAGCGCTGAGAAGATAAGTCCCTGGTAGAGCACTGCCTCGTGTGTGCGAGGTCCTGAGTTCAGTCTCCAGTACCAACACCCGTGTACACGCGCACACACACAAAGGGAACAATGTAATTTGAAATATGAGTACTAGGCATTCACAGAATGATGCACTTAAAAAGTTACTGGTGCTTTTTGTTTTTTTGGTACCTTGCGCTTGCGAGGCAGGCATGGGAACCACTGAGCTAAATCTCCGGCCCCACTGGTGCATTGTTAAAAAGTTTATTCCAGACACGAGGTATGGCTTTACCCACTTGAAGAGTAAAAATGCAAACATAACGACTCAAACACTCACTGAACTGTGTGGGGTAGAGGGGGCTCCTGAAGCAGCCCGTGGTGTGCCCTTCCCTCGCCCACAGTGTGAGCCGGGCGCCCGGGATCTGAGGTCAGAGGGCCGGGATTCCTCCTGGGGCTGGGTTAGAAGGTGGAGGCCGGGAGATCACTGCACGGTGGTAGTCCCGGTAGGCCTGGGGAAATCACTTCGTAATTTGTATGTGTGAAGTTTTTATAAGCTCTTAAGAATCCTCTTGTTTAACTTTGAGAACTGTAGTCATTTCATTAATAAGATAGGGCTAGCTTATTTAGTATTTTGAAAATCTGCATTCTTAAAATGGGAACTTTTACTTCTCTTCCACATTAGTAAACCTAAAAACCATCACATAACCTTTCTGCTTCAACAACAAAATGGAAGAAATCTGATCAGTTTTAGAGTGAAATACTTGTTCATCCTCGGAGCCTCAGAAATCTAGGATCTTAAAAAGTGTGTTTTTGATGTGTAAACATGGTGCTTCCGCATCCCTTAGATGTATAGCAGTGTGTATTCAGAGTACTTGGTAGTGACTTCCTTCTGTTGCATCAGGGTTTACAGTTCATCATGTTCACACTTTTCTCTCAGATCTGTTCAAGTTTTAAATAACGAAGGGCTACTCTCTGTTCTGCTGTGTTGATTCTGTTGAATTCCTACTGGAGTTCGTAGCTTAAGTGGCTAATGGAGAAACGTGGAGAAGATGCTGTCATCCATGTATCTCCTTTGAGACCCTGAATTATCTTTGGTCAGAGGTTTATCATCCTTTGCCTTTCAGCTGGAAGTAACATTTCTTTCATTACTATACTTTGCATATGGATAAGAAATTTTTGTTTTGGTACTGGGGATCGAACTCAGGACCTTGCACTTGCAAGGCAGGCTTGGTGCCGCTGAGCTAAATGCCCTACCCTGGACAAGAAATTTATGCACACGCTAATCTCTTATGTGTGTCTGTGTGGAATGTAGGCTAAAATCTCCTCAGGGACGGTGACTTAAGCTCTCTGTGGTACTTTTGTTCCTTTCTATGTGATCTAGCAGTTGAACTCCATTTTCTCCATCCATTCTATGAGTTGAACTCTTTGTTTCTATAGATACCATTGAAGATCCATAAATACTGACCAAGATTAACTTTGTTGTTGGGCTACTTGAACAAAATACTGTACTGAAAATAGCAGTTGTTTGGAAGCCAGTCGAAGGTGGGCAAATTAGTGCATCTTACAGTCTTAAAGGGGTTGTAGAGATGGCTTTTTTAGTTTTACTTATTTTTGAGGGGCTCTCTTTAAGAGTCCCTGTGCAGTACATTTTTGCTGCATTGATGTGTCTGTTGAACACTGTGTGCTTTGTATGTTTATTTGTCAACATTAGAGAAATTCATTGGCATAAGTAGAAATATCTGCTAAGAAGAGATGGTTTTTTCCTACAGAGCTTTTAGATTCACCCTCTGTCCAAACTGAAGTATACAATTGTGACATTTTAAGGCCAGCATAGTAGTACAGTAAGTAGGCTAAACTCAGAGTGGAACTGTTATGCTGGCAATGCCATTAACTGCTCATGGGCTTTGAATAGGGAACTGGGTTCTTCTTGTGCCTGCGTCTACCTCAGTGTCAGGGCTGGACCACACTGAGTGTGTTCACCATGGGGCATTGGTTCATTGTGACATTAAATCATTGTGCTTCCCTCTCTACCCTCACTGTGCTTTTTTGAATTTTAAAATACCTTTAGTTTTCTGAAAGACAAATATTGAAGTGCTATGTTCTCTATACTGGGTACTGTAATTGTGTGAGAATTGCCTTTAATAGTTCGCCATCAAGTGTATCGCCTAACAGTCTCTTGACCAAGCTCTGAAAAAACAGAAAGGGAAAGCAGTCTTTGGATGGTGCAAGTGTTCCTTTGGCCGGGGTTGGGTATGTCTCAGAAGGGCCTGGCAGCTCCTGCCCGGGAGAGCTAACCCTCAGTAATCTGCCCCCAGCAGTTGGGGCAGTTCTGGCTCGTGGCAAAGAGAATGGAGGTTGCTCATAGGTTGGAACCCCAATTTTAAGTTAACAGGTTTTTTTTGTGGGTTTTTTTGGTACCAGGGATCGAACTTGGGTCCTTAGCTTGCGAGGCAGGCGGCGGAACCACTGATCTAAATCCCTGGCCCCCAATTTTAAGTTACACAGACCAAAGTGCTGCATTTACCATTGATGAGCTGTTTTAAAATAATCTGGCCCATTCTGAAACACATGTGTGTTCCACTGTGCGGTTTTTCTAAGGGAGGTGACAGGAACCCACCCGAGCCCTGGCCGGCAGAGCTTTCTGTCATCTCCGAAGGAGTGTTTTTCTGCAGAGAGGCTGGGTTAATGTCCTTTTCTTTCTTTTGTTGTTAAGCTATTAATGTGTTAAGCTATGATGATAATCCCGTGGACAAGACACATCTAAAAAGCCTTAGCTAATTCATAACCTTGCATAATTCATGATGACAAGAGGCAGAACCAAAAATGCCCTGAATTAAAAGAGAACAATCACACCAGTTAGCAACCATTCCATCCAGGTCTTTGGAAGTGTACTCCAGTTTCTTTAAACAGTGTATTGGGGAATATTTAGGACTGATACAATACCTCTTCCCTACCACCCCGGCTAAGAAAACAGCCTGCCTGAGAACCGGAAGCCCCCGGGGTCCTTCCCCCAGACCGGAAACTGCCTTCTTCTGGGTGCCCTCTGGGTCTCGTGTCTGTAAGCCTTTCCCTCTTTCTCCCGCACGGAGACCTCACCGGGGAGGGTGCGGGCTCTGCAGGTGGACTTCACTGGGGTACCCCGAACCCCGTGCTGTGTGCCCGGACTGTTCCTAGTGAGCGTCTGCGCTGCCTGGGTCTCACGACTGTTACTGTGCGTACCTTTTTCTCCCGCGGAATTGTGGGCCCTTGGAAGGAAGATTTATGAACAGCTTTATATATAATACAGTCAGCAATCAATAAATGTTTGTGGGTTTTTCTCTTGAGGGTATTGATCATTCATTTCCTTTTTATCCTGCCCTGTATTTAACTACTTTGTAAATATGAGCTATTGGGATTTGTGAGGCTCCTAAGAGAAATTTAGTTTTTGTTTATCGTGGATAGATATATATAGTATTTACTTCCTCACATGTCTAAATTTTTTCATACTGTCTTATTTTGTATATTAATAGTATATTTTAAAATATCAAAGTAATGTTTCTTTTTGTCTTATCTTTTAGATTGTGGTATATGGAGATTTGCCAAAAAACAAAGAAAATATAATATATTTAGCAAATCATCGCACCACAGGTTTGTATTTCATTTGCATGCAACTTGGCTTTCTACAAAGGGTACATGGGCATTCAAAAATAATTTATACATTTAAATGAAATGGATTTTTTGTAGTTGTTAAAACATGAATTTTCAGGGCCGGGCATTTAGCTCAGTGGTTTCGCTGCCTGCTGCCTGCTGCGCAAGCGCAAGGACCCGAATTCAATCCCCGGTACCAAAAAAAAACAACAACAAAAAAATTGAATTTTCTATGCAGATTTTATACTTGTCCTTTCACTTTTGTGATTTCACTTTTTAGATAGTTAATAATATGAAAGCTATGGGCTTTTCTAAACTTGTCCCTATGTTGGATGCAAATAAGCTGAGTTTTTACTTTTGCCCCATTTCTTTGAATAGCTCTTCAGTCCATTCATGCTTCTCCTCAGTTGCGCTCCCAGAGGTAGGACCGGTGCCCCGTATCTGGGGTGACTGGCGCCGTGCGGCAGCTGTGTCCTTGTGCTCTGGCCGTTGCGTCTCCCGCCCGTTTCCCCTGTACGCCGTGCCTGGCTTCCTCCTGGCTTCCAGTCTTCTCCCAGAGGAACCTCAGAGGCCACTCCCCGCCCAGACTTTAGGCTAAGGTTCCTTACAAAGGCTGCAGTGTGCCTGAGCACCGTGCGTAGTTTATGGTGATACTCCACTGACTCCCGTGACCCCTTCACCTAGTTCCCTCCAACAGTGCCATCTTACGAACCAAAACCTGGCACACTTAATGGAAAATCATCTGCCTGTGGCTTTCCTTTATGTTCCTCTGTCAGCTGTCTTTTCATGGTTTTGTTGCTTGTCTTACTACCTATACTATAGGAGAGCATAGCAAGAAAAAGAAATTGAAATGCGTCTTCCTCAGCCATGCACCCCAGTGATCACATTCAGTTCACAGGTGAAGGCTGATGTCACTGGATGGATAAGAATTTCCCCGTATCTTGGGTTTCTGTCAACTTTATTAGTGAACCTGCTCCAACTATTCGACCTAATTATCTTTGACTTCAGGCTGTGTCTGCGCCTGCTCCTGACCTTGGCCTGTGCAGACGTGTGGGCCTCCTTGTCTTGTCCCGCAGCAGGAGGAGCATTTCTGCCAGGGCTCACATATGCAGAGAAGAGGGCTTTGCTACCCTGGGCGGGGAGTGGCTCGGGAAGCTTCTGTCCCCTCACAGGAAACACGACGGTGCTTACTTCTGTGTCAACTCAGAACTTTTTTCTACTTAACAGGACTCTCTTAAGATTCCTTGTTCAGTTTCCTGGCAGGTTTTCCTTTTCCAGGTTTTAATGGGAATATTGTTCTCCTGACAGCTATGGTGCTAGCACCAGTGTAGGCAGTGAGTGCTCTGAACATTCCTGGAGGCAGTGGCAGTAATATGTCAGTAATAAAAGAGCTACCAGCGTTTGTGGGCTTCCTCTGTGTTGGCCTTACATAGATTCCTTCCAAGTGAAGCCTGAGAAAGCATTTGTGAGAAAACATTCTTCAGGCTGGGCATGGTGGCACAGCACTCTGGGAGGCTCACAAGTTTGAGCCCAGCCTGGGTCACTTGGTGACATAATGAGACCCTGTCTCAAAACTTTTTTAAAAAGGCCCTGGGTTCGGTGCCCAGGACTGGGCTTGGGGCACCTCCAGTCTTGGACCTGGGACTGGAAGGTGGCAGGGAAGTGTGTGAGCTCCACTCTGGGCCCACAGTCACTGGCGAAGGCTCCAGTCTCAGTTCAGAGAGCTGTTACCCCTCCCCAGCCTCCAAGGCCCTGGGACCTTCTCAGTGCTGACACTGGTCCTGATAGCAGCCAGCCTCTGGGGTTTGGGAAGCTTGCTTTTTGGATACCTTTTAAAAATCCACAACTTGGGGACATAGCAGAGGAGTGCTTTTAGATTGCTTTTGAATTGCAGGCTTCTGTCAGTATGTGATAGAAGGTATGGAGCCTTCACCCAGAAAAATGCTCACAGGAAAACTGCACAGTTTCAGGGTTCAGGGTGTCCACCCTTGTCATGTCAGGTTGCCTTTTGAAAAGCCTTTGGAGGTTCTAGGTGTCACGGTGGAGTATCTGTGAAATGTGCTGGCACGTTTCAAGAAGTGCTGTTCAGCTCAGGCTTTGTACGCATGAGTTTGCGGGCCTGCTGCTCAAGTAGAATTGGCACTTAAGTCGCCTCTCTCTGGCCTGGCATGTCTGTGCTGTTTCCACATCGTGTGTTTCTGTTGACAGAGTGCTCTCCAGCATGGACAGTGGTGCATGCAGTGGCTGTTACCCCCTTCTCTCATCCTTCTTTAACTGTCTGACACTGTTTGCTTTTAAGCTGACCGCTTCCCTTCCTGGGTTTAGGTGGCAGTCCTCTTGACTCCCAGCGTGTGTAGGGAGTAGACTGTCAGGCAGAGAACTGGTTCAGATGCTGTTCAGCATTAGCTGTCAGAACTGACTGGTGAGGCATGAGCAGTATCTGCTGGCTGCACTTCGGCTCGCTCTGGAGCTCCACGGAAGAAGTCTGACTCAGCCACACTGGATTGCTCAGCCTTTGTGGAAGTAGTGCACTAACCTCTGCATTGTGACCCAGTATCACCTGTGTGAAAGCAGCTGAGAGTATACAGGAAAAATGAGGATGATAATTCAGCAGCAAGCAGCAGTGGCACTGAGCGTGTGCCTTTTGACTGCTAAAATTCATTCTCAAATGTTTCCACTGAAGTTTTCAAGTTTGGGGCACAGGCCAGGACAGGTGATTATGAGCATGACATATTTTGGAAAGCTTACACCTTCTCTTGACAGTTCTTGGAAGATGCATCTGAGAGTATCATGCAGACATGCTTGTTTCAATATAGAAATGCATTTATCATTCCCCAAACTTTAAAAAATAGTTCTTGCAGGAAAAGATGACAAATCTAGTTTCTAGCTTTGTACCCTGAATATGTACCAGGATGCACTTTAGCCTGAGAACTATGCAGAACCACACAGAATGAGCTCTCAGAGTTTGTAGTCTACTTTCATACTAGGTACAGTGATAACAGAGTTGTTTAGATGCTTGTTAGATGTGATTATGAACAGTTGTGTTTATCAGTAAGCATTTGTTGGCTGTGAATCTGAGGGAGCTGAGGACAGGGGTTCTGTGGGAAGATCTGTCCAGTGATGGTGAACCTTGTAGTTTCCTGTGATACAAACAACGCGCTGTGGCAGGCGTGCCATGGTTTGCCACCCCTGATCTGCACCTTAGAGAAAAAGCTTACTGGTAGCCCAGAAGGCAGGTGTGGTATAGGGGTGGGGAGGCCTACAGGCATCGCTGAACTGGGAGGAGCTTTATCAACGTCTCTCTATATATAGTAATTAAAAGTCATAGGTCACCAAGAAAAAGTTAACTTTAGTGATAATCCCAAATTAAAAAGAAATTTATAAAAAATAAAAAAATAAAAAAAAATAAATTTATAATAATTGGCAAGATATTTTTCTAGGAGGTTAATTTGCAGTGTTTAAATGTCTGGCTCTCTGGGACAGTCTGCGCCACATGGCGCTGTCTAAAGGAGTTCGCGTGATTTTCGCTCCGTAACGGCCTGAGCCCATCGCAATGCCAGGACTGCTTCCACAGATCCTGAGCCTTTTCTTTCTGAGCGGCACACCCTTGGGCCTGTCTGTGAACACTGCAAGTCCCCCTCAGGCTTCCCTTCCACGCTTTCATCCTGGTCAGAAGGGCGAGCTTGTGGCTTTACTCTCAAGTGCGCCTTCCGTGGTTCTCAAGACACTTCCATGTTGTCCTCTCCTGCCCTCTGCCCCTGGTCTGTGAGGAGCGTGTCCTGTGCTCACGGGCTTCTCTCCCTGTCTGCTGTCTGTGCTCTGGAGAGGTTGGCTCCTCTCCTCAGATTCAGTCTCTCCTGTTGGAAGCTCAGATAACAACTTGGGGGAAATGGTCGTCACTGCACTGCCATTACCAGCGCACTCCTGCCCGGTTCTTACTCCTGCAGCGCTGTGGCAGTAACACCTGAGGCCTCCCCTCGGGTGGGGTGTGTGAGGAGCACATTCTCACTTTCTTAGCACCTGTACTGTGCTCAGAAACATCTTTGTGAAGAAAAGTGCCCTCGCCTTTTGGCTGACATACATAGAATATATCTCGTTTCATTTCCTCTTTGCTTATAATGGCCCCTCTTTTCATTAAAAATTTTGTTTTCTTTTTTTTTTTTTTTGGTACTAGGAACCGAACTCAGGTCCTTGCGCTTACGCAGCAGGGGGCGAAACCGCTCAGCTAAATCCCTGGACCAAAAATTTTGTTTTCTAATGTGAACTAAAGAGTCTCTTTTTATTCTTTGTAAATAGTGCTGTTTGATTACTTGGTATTTTGTGACTTTGGCGTTTTATTTTTTAAAGAAAAGCCTTTGGAAGTGTGATAAAACACTTCAGTGATTTAAGTTTTTTAAGTATCTGGGATTGGTTTAAAATAATTTTGGAATTCTAGTCAGAATATCCCTAAGAGCTGGGAAGGGCTTCTCTTGCTCTGTGAGGGGCAACAGCAGGCCATGGGTGGCAGACGCGCTGACCAGGCTCTGTCTCTGCAGTTGACTGGATCGTGGCCGACATTCTGGCCATGAGGCAGGACGCCGTGGGGCACGTGCGCTACGTGCTGAAGGACAGGCTGAAATGGCTCCCGCTGTATGGCTATTACTTTTCTCAGGTAACTCGTTTCTCCACTTTGTTCGTTATGTGTTGAATTTATTTATCTGTTCGACAGGATCTTGCCATGTAGGCCGGCCTTGATCTCCGTGTACCCCAGGCTGGCCTCGAACTTTCAGTGATCGTTCTGCCTCATCCTCCCCAGTGCTGAGCTTATTTAGGTGTCACTTTATAAAAATTTTATCTTTTAAAATTTAATATATTCTTAATATTAATTTACAAAGGTGTTTTGTTTTGTTTTACATTGTTTTGAAGTTGCTGGGATTGAACCCAGGTCCTTATGCATGCCAGGCAAGTGCTTCACCACTGAGCTGCACCCTACCCCAAATATATGGTTTTTAAATAGTTAAATTGTAAATTGAATTGTTATTATTTTTATTTTTTGTTTTATGAAACAGTATATCACTATGTATTTCAGGCTGGCCTAGAACTTGCATTGTTCTTCCTGCCTCAGCCTCCCCAGTGCTGGGATTACAGGCATGCCCTACTAACATATCTGGCTTGTTTGTTATTTTTGAATAGTGTGTTTATGTACATGTGATTATCCATTTAGTGTAATGAAATAGCAAAAATGCGAATGCTGGAAAGTCGAATAGGAGGCTAAAAGACATAGAATTCAATAGTTGCTTACCTAACAAACTAATGATAAAAGTAATTAGTGATCTGTAAAAGCCAGAACAAAACAGTGAGCCGTTGATAGAGCAGTAATGCACAATGAGATAGGCCCTGGCCTTGCCTCCCCTCCATGTTTGTTTGCCCACAAAATGTTTTGTTCCAGAAATGTAACAGTTTGTGTGGCTGGGCTCCGGCCCAATGTACGGAATTGTTCTGAGACTGAACTGTGCGATGTTTTAGGTATCTTCTGTTAAGCTCTGCCCCCTCATAAGAATGTTGTCAAGCTCCGTCCTCTTACAAAAATGTTTTGTTAAGCTCTGCTCCTTTATAAGAATGTTCTTTTGGTCCAGGGATTTAGCCCAGTGGCACCGCGCCTGTCTCCCAAGCACAAGGTCCTGAATTTGATCCCCAGTACCACACACACACACACACACACACACACACACACAAAAGAATGTTCTGTTAAGCTCTGTGCCCTTAAAGAATGTTTTGTAACTCCGCCCCTCTGCGTCAGTGCACATGCTCACTTACCCTGTAGATCCCTATTAAGGAGGCTCTCATTTCTGCTGGAGCGCTCAGGCTTGAGTATGAACTCCTGAGCCCACAGGTGTGATACCTAGTGACCATCAGATTCTCAAGTCTTCAAATTGTAACACTGTAACGTTTGGCTGTGCCTCACACCTCTAACACTTGGGCAGGAGCTGTTCTGTTCACAACACTATCATGCGTAGCATGCGTAAATGTGCTTTCCCATGTAATTCCAAGGTGGCGTTGTGTGCGAGGTTGGTTTCTCTCCTCCTTGGGCCTGTCACCTCGCCCACAGGGACAGCACCCTTTCCAAGACCTGGTGTGTTGTTTTGGCGAACACACGTCCCTGGGGTCAGTTCTCTTCCTAGGAGGGAGCAGTCCATCGTCCCTGTCCCCCACCACCAAGGATCTTTGTTACTCAGGGTGCCCCGCTGCAAGTCACACGCGGTCTGGAAGTTCGGACCTCGGGTTTGGAGTCCATACAGTGCCACACAAATATCTGCATCAGACTCCGTCCTTTAAATCCCTAAAGATTGTGGGTGTTGTCATTTTAAAGGTACTTTTTAGGGATTCTGTAAGAAGTCAGTGGAAAAATTGGGAGTTAGGACTTTTTTGATCAAGTGTTTCGTTTGAAGGTTATATTTTTAAGAAACAAAGAATTTTTATTTTAACTACCAACAAAACTAAATGTTCATGTATTTTTCAGAACAGTGAGGATACAATTTTATGTGAATTACGTTGATACGGTTTTCAGTTGTGTGTTTCCAGTGTGACTATTTGAGGCAGTGAATAGAGCATAAATTCTGAAATAGAGTTTAATGCTGTGTTCCTTGGGAGTGAGTTGCCATTTTGATGACTGTAGCCGTTGCATGTTTTATGAATGAATGTTTTCTCTTCCCCGTTTTTCTCCGTCCAGCACGGAGGAATCTATGTGAAGCGAAGTGCCAAATTCAATGAAGGCAAAATGAGGGACACGCTGCAGCGCTACGTGAACGCGGGCACGCCGGTAAGAGCGCCGCTTTGGTTGCTCCCGTCATGAGTTGTGGTTTTTAATTTACGAATAAAACTGGAAGGCCAGGGATTTAGCTCAGTGGTTCCGCTGCCTGCCCAGCAAGCGCAAGGACCCGAGTTCGATCCCTGGTACCAAAAATAAAATAAAACTAGAATCTAAGAATTGGTTTGCAAGTATATTTCCCATGTGTAAGAAGCAAGAGTTTCGCCTCTGTTGAGGGGAGGCCCCGGTGGGCGTCCTGCGGGGCCTCTGGGCTCGGCTCGGTCAGCACACGGAGGCAGTCCAGGGTGCCCAGGTTGCTCGGTCATTGCTCTCAGGCCGCTCCGAGGGTAGGCACGCACCTGTCTTCTCTGCATCAAACTTATTTCCGTCAAGTGGAAGTTTGGATTTCTTGTATATACTGAGTTGTTTGAAAACTTAAAAAAGAATGAATATCTACAAATGAAAAAAAATCAGTATGAACATTATTTCACACGATTTTGCCCCAGAAAAACCAATCTGAGCCTCCATGTAAAGAACGCGGTGCCGCAAGGCCATTTCCTACTCCGCTGGGCGCAGCCTCACCGCTGCAGTGACGGTGACCGCGCGGTGACAGTGACTCCATCTCAGCTTCCGTGTGCTGACGACCTGCTCTCCTGCCACCTCACCTCCTCTGGTGACTGTGAGAAGAGACAATTATTTGAACAAGCTTTCTCATCGAAGAAACTTTACACGATATAAGACCTTTGTAGGAGTGTCACAGGGGTGTTTTAAAGGCAAGAGTAGATTTTCACGTTCCTAGCACAGTGTGGATTGCAAGATAGGCGCCGGCCCAGGAAGGGAGGCAGAGGGTGCTTAGGGTCAGCCGCTGTGTGTCATGGTCCGGCTTCTTAGAATCCGGATGGTTGTTTTATTTTTTTTAATATTTAAGGCCCATAAATGCAGAAGTTATTGTGTAATTACTTTGCTGTACTCTTTTGTGTCTGAAAGGTAATTAAGAACTGAGGTGGTAGAATATATTTAAGTAGTTTTCACATGGCTTAGTATTTCTCATAGGAATCTATTCCGTGATTACATCCATTCTTACTCAGTTTTAGGCTTGAGGAGACTTCAGAGTTTTGGTTTTAGAAGTGCACTTGTATTATTGTAACGGCAGACTTGCAGTCCACAGTGTGGCAGCTCTTAGTGGTACAGCAGGATCAGGCCAAGAAGAACCCGGAGGTTGGAGGCAAGTGTACAGCTTTATTAGGCCAGCGGGCTGATCGGGGATTTTTCCACAAAGCGATCAGCATGGAGCTGGCAGTGAACAGGGTTTATATGGGTCAAGGGAAGAGGGGTGGAGATACAGCGAGGCATTTATCATCAGTTCATTGGTCGAGGAAGTTACATTTAGTTTATGTGACTGGATAGAAAAGTACACTGGATACAGACACTTTCTGGGCACAAAGGACAATGGAGGAGGACATGTTAGGTGTGGGAGGGGTATGAGCTACGGGTGGCTTTTTGTTAGTTAGGTCACCTAGCCACAGGAAAGAACCTTTTTTGCTCAGAAATAGTTTTCCAGCTCATTATAAATGACTAAGAAGCACATCTCCATAATTGCCACTAAGACAACATTTTCATAAGGTACTTACTGATAGATGCAAATGAAACATTTATGACAAAAAGAACTGCTTTATCTATAGAAGTTGTTTAGTTAGAATTCAAGCTAGTAAAATTTATGTGACAAATTTGCAGGCATACTTTTTCTTCCAACTTTTAAGTTTCTTTCAAATGGGAGGGAGCCTCTTGGAATCAGATTATCTGGTAATCCTTTGAAATCAGATTTGGTTTAAATCCTAGATCTGCTGCTTTAAGCTTGTTACTTTGCACAAGTTACTTAACTTTTCACTTTCTTATATAAATCTTTTAGTGACTACTATTTAATTTGGTGGTAGGACTTAAATTTAAAATCTAAAACTGCCGCTGTAACAAATTTCCACAGCCTATTGGCATAAAGTAACCAATGATTGTAACCTTTCCGGAAGGTCAGTCCAGTGCAGGTGGCCCTGGGTGGAAGCCCCGCTGTCACTGGGCTCTGGTCCTCCCAGGGCCTCCTGCCTTGCCCCTTCTCGAAGGCCTCTGTCCCTTCTCTCCTGAGGGGCTCATGTCCTCTCCAGAACCACGCTGGCTGGTCTGCCTTCCTCGCTAGCCACTTTCAGTCTGGTTCTGACTTTGCTGCTTCCCTCTTTCCTGTGTAGGACCCTCTTGGTACTTTAGGGGCTCTCACTGTCATCGGGACCCCCTCCCATGTCCTGGGACGTGTGCACCAGGTTGGGGGGGTGCCTCAGGCAGGGAGGTGGTGCTCTGTGCCCCTGTGACTGTACCACACTGTCTTCTGTCACAGCTTGTCTGTAGCTAAATGATGAGCCCCTTCGTTCGGGAACAAAGACTTTCACATCCTGCTCAGTTTGCAGTTCCCGGTAAACATGCAGTGGGCTTTGTAATGACTTCCGTGCTTCTGGTTGTAATTGTAAATCCTTTAAAAAGCTGTGGTTTGCTAGACTAGATTAATTTGGGAATCAGAAGAAATATCTTGTTATATTCTATGCATCTCAATATGAAATAGTTTTTTATTTTTTTAAAAAGTAGTAATTTAAAAATGTATAGCTAATAAAGTTTTTTTTTGTTGTTTTTTTTTTTGGTACCAGAACCACTGAACTAAATCACTGGCCTAATAAAGGTATAAAATTTAAAGGTATAATTAATATATAAATTACTTTGGAAACTAGTAAAATAAATATTTTTCTTTTGGTACCAGGGATCAAACTCAGGGCCTTGCTTTTGCCAGGCAAGTGCCATATCACAGAGCTATTCCCCCCCCCCCTTTTTTTTAAAAATCAGAGAGAAAGGAAACATAAGACTTATAAAGAAGCTGCCACGTAGTCCTTGATACCTTCACCTATTTCCTCTAATTCTTGGAACAACCCTACTTCAGGATAAAAACCTGAGATTCAGTTAATAAGTGAATGGCTGAGGCAGGAGGCTCCCAAGTCATGCCCAGCTTGCAGAGTATCAACTTAGTGAGAACCTATCTGGAGTAAAAGTGCAGAAAGGGCTTGGGTGTAGCTCAGTGTGGAGGCTCTGCCTTCCATCCCCAGTCTCAGGCACACACACAAAGGTAGCTGGCGCTGGTGCATGCCTGCAGGGCCAGCACTCTGGGAGGCTGAGCCAGGAGGATCAATCACTGCGCTAGTTCCAAGCTAGTCTGGGCAACTTAGCAACTTAAACATACCCGGTCTCAAAATTTAAAACATTAAAAGTGCTGGGTATGTAGCTTAGCACATAGGCCCTGGATTCAACCCTGGTACCACACAAATTTAAAAATAAATCCAGTGCATAGAGAAAGGGCTGTTTTAAATAGGAAATTATCATTTAATAGTTCATTATAACTTGAATAGATTTAAAATCCTAATTAAATAATCCCTTGTTTTTAAATAGGTTTTTAATGTAAAGACATACTTTTATACCTAGAGACTGGACCGTCTGTGTTGGAAACGGTCCCATAGAAAGGTACGGCCCGTCTTGGGTATGGAATGTAGAATTTTTAAAAACATGGAGATCATGACAGCAGAAAACAGGCTCTCTGGTTCTTTCAGTGAAAATGCAGGAGGTCAGGGATTTGTGTGTAGAGTGCAAGACCCCTTGCCTAGTTGGACTGGTGTGCGAGCCGTGTCCGTGCGCGCTGCGGTGTGCCCCCTGGCTGTTCAGGAGCAGGGCCTGCATTCTTCGGTGCCTCACTGGGCAGAGGCCCCGGGACCCGCTGCCCTGCAGCAGCCCTTGGCGCCCTGTCCCCCGCTGGGTCTCCCCTCCTCTGTGGCCGGGAACTGAAGCAGACCACTCCCTGTGTGAGCAGTTTGCCTCCAGGACCAGAGCTGTCGGCTGTCCTGTCGTGAGGACGGCTGGGAGCACGGCTCCTCTGGTCTGATCCATCGGCTCCGGCTCCGCGCGTGCGCACTGCGCAGAATTGCCGCGCCTCTGGGGGCGCTGGGACAGCTAGGAGGGCGCCGCACGTGGCGCTGATGTTCTGTGCCCAGCCCTGTGCCCATTCTGACAGTGTCTATCTCTGGGGACTCAGGTCACATCATAATTTTCATTTTCTAGAAGAAGACACTTAAGGCACAAGGGCTAGTTTCTTCAGTCTTGGGTTGGCCTTTGAAAGTCTTTGGCTTCCGGTTTTGAAGCCAGTGCTCAGGCTGCACATCCACACAGTGCTCTACTCTGTCCCCAGGTCCATTCTTGGGAAATTGGACTTCCTCAAGAAGATCACCTGCTTTGTACAGGAAGGGCCATAAAATGACATTATTCAACGTTTGTCCCTGACTTTGTTTGCCAAACAGTATTTTACTTTTGTAATTTAACATGTTTTTCTTAGATCATCTTTAATTTCTCTCGGTGTTTTGTAGTTTTCTACTGTACAGGCTTATACATCTGCTAGACTTATCCATAAGGATTTCTTACTTTTTAATGTTATTACAGATGGGTTTTAATTTTGTGATATGTACAATTGATTTTTTTTTTGTATATTGGCTTTGTATTCTGTAACATTGCTAGACTTACTGTCTAGTAACTCCTTTTGAAATGTTCCTCAGGGTTTCCTATGTGACCGTCATGTCATTTGCGTATAAATAACCACTTTACTTCCCCTTTTTAAATCTAGATGCCTTTTATTTTTCTTGCCACACTTTCTGCCTAGCCTCCAGCAGAGCCTGGTGCGGAGCTGCCAAGAGGAGAGGGGGAGGGGGAGGGGGAGGGGGAGAGGGAGAGGGGCGGGGAGGAGAGGAGGCGGTCCTGCCTGAGCCTTCACCTTTGCCCGGAAGTGCTCTGCTCTTCTCCCCCCCCCCACGGCGCTGACTTGGGAACTGTCCCTCATAGCATCCCGCTCTTTTCTAAGCAGGCACATCGTACTATGGCATGTTGTTATTTATTTGTCTAGTGTGTTTTTCTCCTCACTTGTCCACAAAGACTACAAAGGGAAGGACCTGTCTGTTGTGTCGTCTTGTACAGAGTGCCTGGCAAGAAAGAGTTCTCCAATGAGCCCTGAACCAACAGTTCATTCTTGTTGATTATCAGTATTTTCAATTAAACATTAAAACCCAGAAAATACTAGCACATGAGTTCTTAACCATTGAAGTAGGGAGTCACCGGCAAGTGACTGGCCGAAACCTGTGGGCAGCAATGGTTGCTTCCATGACTTTGCAGGTAAACGGTACTGATCAAAAGTACAGTCATGAAAATGAATGTGTGGTTCTGAGACTAACTTTACTATTCTTCCTGTTTTTCCTTCTGCTTATTAAGTTGCATTTTTAATTTTTTTCTCAGTTTTACTAGTTTTTCTACCTTTTGCAGTTTTTTTTTTTTTTTTGGTACCGGAGATCGAACTCGGGGTCTTGCACTTGCGCAGCAGGCGGCGAAACCACTGAGCTAAATCCCTGACCCTAGTTTTTCTCCCTTTAACAGATCTAGTCAATCGTTGTGTTAAATCTAACACAATCTATTAAATTCTAAAGTTAGGCAAAGATAATGGATTTTTGTAAAGAGCTTGTATATTTGCAGGGAAGCTGAAAAGGCAGAATTGTAGAGATACCAATATATATCATGCCAGTTTTTCAGACTGAGTCTTGGGTGCATTTACTCGTACATTTACTCAGCAAATTCAGTTCTTACATGACTTCATGAGAGTAGTTGTTTTACAATCAGAGGCCATGCAGGTAAGGGGATGCTTCTCATCCTTTGGCTGTCAATTTTAAGTGCTAGTGTAGTTTTTACTACTCAGTTCTCAATTTAGTATTTTTTAGCTCTATGATTTTAGTGTTTTTATTTTTACTTTCTCAAGCAGATTAAGTATAAAAGTATAGACTAAATGATTATTTAGCAAATCTGTGGCTTGCCGCTCTCCTTTATTTATAAATACTGTGTAATTTCAATTTATGTAACAGATGTGAAGCTGCTTATTAGTCATTTAACCTTCGTTAAGAGAGCTCCATAAGATAGGACTCCTGTGTAACTCTGGAAATGTGAGCACTTACTACCCTCTGTGTTACAGAAATTAAAATATTCATATATGGATTTCCTTAGGTGAGATGCACTCTTGATCTTGGTAGCTAGGGACATTGAGCCTTTAGATTTGCATCATTTTAAAGTGTCCTGTTGGAGAGTGGGCGGGTGGAGGAAGACCGGGTGTGTCGGGGTGCAGCATGTACGTGTGCGAATATCCTGAGTCCCCTTACTGTGTGTGACACATACGTGCTAATAAAACATTTTGTGCGAACTGGGTGAGGTGGGCCTTGCCTGTAAATCCCAGCTACTTGGGAGGCTGAGGCAGAAGGATCACAAGTTCAGGGCTACCTGGGTGATTTTCAAAATGAAAATGACAAGGACTGAGCATGCAGGCCAGTGGTAGAGTGCCCCCGGGCTCAGTCTCCAGTATCGCCAAGAAAGGAAGAAAGAAAACATTACAGGATTGTAGAGGACAAAGGCTGTTTTATTAATTATTGGTAAGCATTTCATGACCAAGTTTTTAACTAGTGACTATTAGCATATTATTAGAAATGTTTTTGGATTCTTAATTATGGAACTAGAGTGGATACATTTTGAATATAGTCCATGTTATGGTCAGACTTAACTGAAGTTTTACATTTTGTTTGCTCTGCTTGAAATGAAGATCACATACTTTTCTCCCATCCTAGGAAATACTCTCTTAGCATTAATAGGATTAGCACTGATCAGTTTAGAACAATAGCAGCAACACAAAGCTCACACCAAAAACAAACTGGGTTTTCTTTATGTCCCACAGATGTACCTTGTGATTTTTCCAGAGGGAACAAGGTATACCCCAAAAGTCCTTTCCGCTAGTCAGGCATTTGCTGCTCAGAGGGGTAAGTAAATATTTGACTGTGTTTGAAAAAATAACTTTTAAAGGTAGTGATCTTTTTAGTTTTTCTTCCTGGAATAGAAATTTATGTTCTACAAGAATTTAAAGAATGAATGTGTTAACTCTTAGGAAATGCAGTTTCTTCTTAATTCATGTGCATGTCGTTACATATGTCTGGGAGACTATTTCAGGTGCTTGATGTAGTGCATATTCCTGTGCTGTGGATTTCGTTAAAACCTTAAGTGTGTGATTGTGTAGGAGTTGTCTGTTTCTACAGTGTGGATTCATGTACTTATGTTAGAATCCAGACTCTTTGATTTCCTGTATGGCTACAAGTTGCCGAATGTTGCAAATGTTGGTTTGTAACATGGTGAGATTGATAGAGGGGGAGAGCCAGGGCCTGGCTCAGTCGAGGAACCCAGCTGGTGGGGTCTAGATGCCCGACAGTGCGGGCCAGGTCCACAGAATTTAGTCCCCTGCTTTCCAGAAGCTTTGGCCCTTGTAGTTCCATCATAACACATGATAGACAAATTTGTTGATTCTAAGTATGCTATTGAGACAAAATCAGCCCATGGACATTATGTTGTTGCTGGGCAAACCTCTAGCTATTTGTAGAAGTATAATAGATTTGTGTAATGGAATGAGTATAGTCTTTAATTGTGAAGAACAGCAGACTTAGTATGTTTTAGCTTTGAAGGGTTTCTGATTTCTTTTGTAAAATTCACCTTTTACAATAAAATGTATTTCCTGCTTAAATACGGCATACTTCTTTAAGTTGGTAAAGCAAATGCTTATGTGCTAATTGATTTATTCACCATGTTGTGTTTTTCCAGAGTTGTGATTTAACTCTAGGCTATATTTTTCTTTTTATTTCGGGTAAGTTATTTTCATATATAACTGTATTTTTACTAGTATTTTAAGATTAATTTTTTAACTGCCCAATCCCTTCATTGAGATGCTTGTCTAATATAGCTAGTAAAGGTTATTTCAAAAGTCACCCTAATTTTGCAGTGCTACAAATATTTTAAGTAATTCTAAGATAGCATAATTTGTACTTTACTTTCTAAATCCAGTATTACGCTAGTCACCTATAATTGGTCATTATACTGTATTGTTCTGTTATCTTCCATGAGTCATAAGAGTGTCTTGAAGTTACCAAAAGGGAAAAACAGGAAAAATTTCTTTCACGGTTATAATATTTAATGGCTAATGGTTAGTAAAATGATAATAATTGATTGCTATTATTTATTAGACATATTTTCTTGTTACTTTAGAGTAACAAAGACAATTGATCTGTGAACAGCACATCTAGAAAATATGCTCGTGTTTTCTTTCCCCTTAAATCACAACTGAGGTTAATTACAAATAATAAAAACAGTATAACTTGTGTCATCAGTATTAAGCTAATTTTCTTCAAGAGAGTTGAAACTAATTGCTGAAAGCAATCTTTTTTTTTTTGGTACCGGGGATCGAACTCGGGTCCTTGCACTTGCGAGGCAGGCGGCAGCACCACTGAGCTAAATCCCCAGCTAGTTGAAACTAATTGCACTTGTTAGGCTGTGACATGTAAAATTATCAGTAATTTTGCTCCTAAAGTGCTTTCATTTGATTCTAATTTAAAAAGACAAATCAAGAAACAGTGAAATCAAAATCATCCTTTTTAAATTTGGTTTTTAAGGATTTGATACTTGTTTATATGTTTAAGGCAGTACCTTATGTAGCTGTTCAGGTGAAGGAGGTATGACGTGCCTACATGTTATCCTGCAATACTTCAATTTTTATTGCTGTTTTCTAAATACATTTTGCCTGAAACCACTTACTAACCACAAATATGTTGATTTGGTATCAGGACTGTTACTTAAAATATGTCTTGTGTTATAGTGTCAAAAAATCTTAATATTATATTCACTTAGAAGATTATTACATTACCCATCTCTATAATTCCCTTCTTACTTGAAAGTAAATGTTAGTTATTCCTTTAAAAAATATTTACATTTCCAAATAAATTAGCCAAGGTTATATTAAACTATCTCTCTAGGATGAAAGGGTGCTTAATTTTCATTTTTGTAATGGCTTACATACCACCTGTCTTTGAAGAAAACGATGACAAACCATTTGGTAAGGAAAACTCCAACATAATACATACGTATAATAGTATCATGTCATGTAATAATGTTACATACATCAAAGTATTATGAGAGATAAAAGGTCTTTCTCCGTTTATGGCTCAAAGAGTTTGTTTTGTTAAGACAAGTAGATTTTTGTTGAAATCCGCCAGACCTGTCAAGGAGTAACCACTTCCTCTTCTGAATCCCCTTGGCTTGTAAATCTCTTCAGCTGTTGAGCCTTCATTATTGCAGTTCTGTGTTGATAGGTATCTGTTCACCTCTACAAAATATTGAATCAAAGATGGAAAGTAGTTCAGGATTTAAAATAGGAAAGGGTCCTGTCAGAAGACTATCTTCATACCTTCTGTTTCCACACTAGAATTTTTTATTCTTCTATGCTAGTCATTTATTGAAAAGAATAGGAATGAAGAAAGGGAGAGAGAAAACATCTGCTTTCAAATTTTATTTGTACTGTACTCGAGCCGTCCACTTGGTCACCTTGTAGATCATCTGCCCTGCAGTGCCCCACACTGCAGCTGTGTTCGCCTCCTAAGACTGGCTGCTCTGCTCTCCGTTTCTGCAACCGCTTCCAGCTGGCAGCACACTGGGCCCCTCAGCTCCGCAAGGGCAGCGCCGTCAGTGGATTGCGTGCCTGCCCCTCCAGCCGAGGGTCAGCAGGTTTCCTGGGGTCCACGATACTGGCCAGTGCTTCGGTCTTGGCAGTGTTTGTTCACTCCCAGAGCCTTGCCTACGTCTTGGATGCTGTCTCCATGCTGCCTGTTGGTTGATTTCAAACCAAGCAAGTGGTGTTGACTATTCATTCCACACTGACTTCCACTGCTCTCTTGTCAGTTCCTGATCCTTTGGAATCCTGTTTGAAATTCCCAGGGCTAGGGATTGAGCTCAATGGTTCCGGCGCCTGCCTGGAAATTCCCAGTCAGGGATTCTCAAAGTGGTGCCTAGCCTGGGAGTACCAGAACCCGCTGGGCCCTCTTGGCCTCCCGGGTCAGGAGCTGTGGACTGAGGCCGTGTGGTTCACACACATCCTCAGCTTCAGCAGGGTGCTCGGGCCAGACCTCTGTGCTTCAGCTAGACACGCGGGCCTAACACTGACTGGTAAACCTTAGTTTTATGCTTAGGCTTCGAGCCCCAGAAAATACGGACGGGCACAGGAAGCAGCTTCCTCTCTGGGCTGTAGACACCCAGGCACTGCCAGTGGAGCGGCTGGATGTGTTTCCCTTGAGGTTTTGTTTTCACGTGGTTGGTAAGGAATTTCTATTAGCATATTAGCATATTTTAATATGCTAGTAATTGATTTTAATATGCTAATAATATTTCTGCAATATATGACATTAAAATTCTATACAAAACTTTTTTTTTTTGGTACCGGGGATCAAACTCAGGACCTTGCACTTGCGAGGCAGGTGGCAGAACCACTGAGCTAAATCCCTGGCCCCCAAAACTTTTTAATTAATAAGAAAAAGCAAACTAGAAAAATGAAAAAACATCTTGAATAAGAAATTCAAGAAACATGAATGGCCTCCACTTCGGAATAAAAAATGTTCATTCTCCCTAAGAATAAAAAAGTACAGATTAAATGAATACTTTGATGCCAGCTTCTGAAGGTCACCGTAACGAGTATGTAAAAGGAAAGTTATTGCCCAGCGTTTGGTGGAAGAGACTCTGATCCTTCCACAAGATGATTTTTTTCCTGTGGCTGCTGTTACAGATGATCACAACTTTGGTGGCTTGACACAACAAAAATTGATTCTTATACAGTTCAGTTATTAGTGTGTGCGAAATGGGTCAGCAGAATATTACAGTTCAGACCTCAACTGTCCCCGAAAGCCTCACGTATCCAGCACAGGGCTTGAAACGTGCTTTGGTCCTGGGCACTGTACTCTCCAGTGGATTCAGGCATTGATGAGTTCACAGCTGCATGTGCTGTTAGTAGGTGTGGCCTGGTGGGAAGGCGGGTCACTGGGGGTGTGACCCGGTATTTTCTGTACCCAGCTCCGGTCTCTTTTCTCTCTCTCGCCCCTCCCTCTCCCCTCCCCTTCCCTTCCCCCAGCAGCTGCCAGGCATGGTCAGCTGACCTCCACCAGGCCTGCCATCCGTAGACTGAACCCAGGGAAACCATGAGCTGAGTAAATCTCTCCTCTCTTAAGCTTCAGGTGTGCGATATTTTGTCCCAGTGATGGGAAAGTGAATGATATAATAGCTTAAAGCACGTATTTATCTTTCACAGTCCACTTATTGGTATGTCTGAAAGAGGCCTCACTGAGCAAAGTCAAGGTGCTGGCAGGCCCACAGTCCTTTCTGGAGGCTGCAGGGGATCACTGGTGTTGCTACACAGGGTCCTGTGCTTGATACAACTCTCTACCGTCATGTTGAACCTTACCAGAAGTGGCTCTGCTTCTACCTCCTCCTGGTCTCTGAACGTGGCGTGCCGTCCTTTGCCGAACTGACTCTGCGGCTCCCGCAGCTCCTGCCTGCGCCTGCACTGGGGTCCGAGGCTGGGAGGTGCTCACTTCTCCGCCCTAGGATCCCTGTGGGTCTGCTGTCTCCTGCAGCAGTGGAGCACGTCATACCATCCATGCTGCCCACCGCCTGTGTCCGGTCCGTGCCGCCTGATTTCAGCGGAGCCAGTGCCCCGTGCTTAGGAATTCTTTTACTTTTCTCTTTCTGACTGACTACCTCATGTTTTTCACAGATTTTCTTCCCTTTTACATTCAGGATATCTTTGCCTTCAAAAAGTTACGTGCCTCCGGCAACAGTGCATTCAGTGTGCCTTTTTATTGCAAAATATTAATTTGGACTTTACTGGGCTCCCTATCTTTGGAGAGAAGTTTTTTTCTTAGATGTGGCAACTACACCAGATTCGGTGCTTTTTGAT